TCTCTGGCGTGGAGGAGGGGGCTGCTGTGGTTCTGGTGGTAGCGGGTGAGGGGGTTCTGTTTCTCTGCCGTGCTGTGATTTGGGTGGTCTTTAAGGTAGAGGTGGAGCTTACTGTGGAGCTGGTGGCAGAGGGCGAGGTGCTCCTGGAGGTCAGCCCTGGTAAGGTTTGGGTGGTCTCTAGTGTGGAGGAGGGGGCTGCGGTGGTGCTGGTGTTAGTGCTTGAGGTGGCCCTGGAGGTCAGCCCTGGTGTGGTTGGGGTGGTCTCTGGACTGGAGGAGGGGGCTGCTGTAGTGCTGGTGGTAGCGGGTGAGGTGTTCCTGGGGGCCAGCTCTGATGGGGTATGGGTGGTCTCCTGTGTGGAGTAGAGTGCTGCTGTCGTGCTGGTGGTTACTGGTGACGTGGTCCTGGAGGTCAGCCCTAGTGTGGTTTGCGTGGTCTCCAGCGTGGACAAGGGGACTATTTTCAAGCTTGTGGTCATGGGCGAGGTGGCCGTGTTGGTCAGCACTGGGGTGTGGGTTATCTCCAGGGTGGATGAGGGGGCTGTCGTGGATGTGGTGGTGGGGGGCAAGGTAGTCCTGGTGGCGTGCTGTAGTGTGATTTGGGTGGTCTCTGGTGTGGCGGAGGGGGCTGCTGTGCCTCCTGTGGTGGCGGCGGGCGAGGTGGCGCAGTGGCTGTAGTTTTCACAGCATAGCAGGCGCACGTGGAAGTTGAGACAGTAGGGCAGGGACCTGGGCTGCTCACGGTTCCTACACACCAGCCCAACGCTCACGTTGCACTGGACAACCTGCTCCAGTGCCTCCAGGGGCTGGTCCGGCGCCTTCTCGGCGCGGCACTCGATGTCCTGGGGCTGATCGCAGAAGGCATGGCCAGCTGCGCGGATGACCGTGTAGGTCTCGAAGTCCCCGCCGTCGGGGCCAGGGGTGGGGTAGTCCTCATCGAACCAGTCTGTCCAGGCGCACTGTGGCCTGCAGCCTGGGCTGGGGGATGGGGTCCAGGCGGACGTTCTGGTGCTGGGCTGTGGGGGGCTGGAGGAGAGGGTGGTTGCCAAGGTGGGCCCGGTGCTGGAGGATGCTGGGGTCAAGTGAATGCGAGAGGTCAGCAGGGGGACCGTGTGGGGGGCGCTGGTGGAGGCCGATCTCAGGGATGTTGTTGGGTTCCCAGCGGTGGGCTGCTCTGAGGTATGGAAGAGGCTGGTGGTGGTGGCTGTAGGTGTAGAGGGGCTGTGGATGGAGATGCTCTTGGTGATCCCAGAGAGGGTGTGGCCTGTGTGGGTGGTGGGGATGGAGACCCTCTCGGTGGCCCTGGAGAGGGTGCCTGTCTGAGTGGTGGGGACGGAGAGGCTCTTGGCGGTCCTGGGTGAGGTAAGGCTCTGCTGGGGGTGTTGGGTGGTGGCCGTGGTGCGGGGTCTGGGCGGGGGCGTGGTGGCGCTGGGGCAGAGGCTGTAGTCGTCGCAGCAGAGCACGCGCACGTTGTAGTTGAAGCACATGTTGAACCTCCCGGTTTGGTCCTCGTTCCTGCACACCAGCCCCGTGTCCAGGCTGCAGTTCACCACCTGCCCGATCTGGTCGATGCTCACCTCGGGGTAGTTCTCTGCCCGGCACTCGATCTTCTGTGGGTCCCAGCACATCTTGCCCCCAGCAGCTCTGATGTTTTCGAAGGTCTCCATGTCTCCTCCTGCAACCCCTGAGATGGGAAAGTCCACGTCAAACCATTCTGTCCACTCGCACCGGGGTTGACACAGCGTTGCACCCTGGCTGGTGGAGGCCTTGGTCGAGGTGCCCGGTGGCATCTCTGACTTGAGTGCGCTGGTCTGCACGTGGCTGGTGGACGGCCAGCTCGTGCGTGTTGTCAGCAGCAGGCTGGTGGTCAGAGGCCCTTTGGAGAGGGTGCTGGCTGTGCCTGTCGGTACTCCTGTTTGCGGGTGAGCTGTGGAGGTTTGCTTTGTTACTGGGGCTGGTGTGGGCAGCTGTGAGATGCCTGGAGTGCCAGTACTGCCAATGGTCCCTGGCAAGGTCGTGTGAGTTGGAAGGACTGACGTGGTTCCCCCTGGGATGGTGGGTCCTGTGGAGACTGGAGAAGCCGTGAGGCTTCCCGTGGTGGCTGTAACAAAGGTTTCCGTGTGGCTAGGGATTGTTGATACTTTTGAGGGGGTGGATCCTGCTGTGGTGCTGGCTGGGGAAGTCCAGGTCACCTCTGGACTACTCCTGGGTGATGGCATTGAGGACAGGGGTGGGGTGGCTGTGGTGGCTGTCCCCTGCTCTGTGGCTGGCGTCGTGGTGCTGGTGCTTCCCTGGCAGTGGTCGGTGCTGCAGCAGAGCATGCGGATCCGGTAGTTGTAGCACATCTTGAACAGGCCCGCCTGCTCCTGGTTCCTGCACACCAGGCCAAAGCTGAGGTCACAGTGTGCACGCTGGCCCACCTCCTCCAGGGTCTGGTTGGGGAAGTTCTCAGCCTCACACTGTATGTCTTGCGGCTGCTCACAGATGTCCCCTCCGGCAGCCCTGATTTTATCATATGACTCGATGTCCCCCCCAGCTTCTTCAGACTTGGGGTAATCCTCATCAAACCACACTGTCCACTGACATCGGGGTCGACAGGTGGTGCTCGGGGCTAGGGGGCTGGTGACCAGGCTGGTGGCCGTTGCCATGGGCGAGACAGACCTGGTCTGTGCTGTGAGGGCAGCTGTGGACTGGGAGCCCGGTGTGGCCTGCAGGGTGGTTTCTTTGGTTGCTATGGTCTGGGTGGGTGTGGGCCAGGATGTGAGGGGTGCTGTCCCAGTGGCGGTGGAAGCCACAGTGGGCTCCGTGGTGGCCCCAGGCTGGGTGGTGGCACTGGGGGAGGGTGAGGGGCTGGTGCCCGGGACTGGGGTGGGGTTGCAGGGCACATAGTCACAGCACAGAACACGCAGCTCATAGTTGTGGCAGAGCGAGGGGCTCTGCTCGCTGTTGAGGCATGTCAGCCCCTGAGTCCGGTCACAGTCCACCTTCTGGCCCAGGACCTCCAGGGGCCTGGAGGGGAACCGCTGTGCCCTGCATTCAATGTCAGCCGGAGCCTGGCAAACCTGATATCCTCTGTTCCTCAGGTTGGCAAATGTTTCGAAGTCTCCACCTCCCATGCTGGGCTCTGGGCGGTCGCCGTCATACCAGGCAGACCAGTGGCAGACCTCGCGGACACACACGGTAGACAGGGCGGGGGCTGAGCCTGCATGGGAGGGGCGGGAGAGGGGCCCCTGTTCAGCCTCCTCTGGCTCTTGCCTCCTGAGGAGGAGGGTGTGAGAGGTACCCATTGCCCAGGGCTGGCTTCCATGCCTCTATGGGGTCAGGGGCACCCCAAAGCCTGCCCCAAGCCTTGTTTAGGTGAGGGACTGGGCCTGGCAGCCAGTCATGATGGAGCCAGCAGCTGGGACGGGCCACTCTGAGGGACAGGGCAGAGGCTGGGAAGGTTTTTTGTCCTCTTGAGGGGAGCCCCGCCAGTCATGGTGCTAAGACTTCCTGGGGAGCCCCGGGGCACCTGCTCTGAGTGCCTGCTGGTCTTTCCTCGCCACCCAGATGGGCCTCACCTGTCATGGGGGGCAGGGCCGAGGTGGTGGTGAAGGTGAATGGTGTCGTGGACAGGGTTCCGGGACATTCCACGGCCCTCCGGATGATTGTTCCGTTGTTTCCACAGATGGCGGTTAAACAGCCGCCTAGCCCATCGGTGGTGTTGTAGATGACATCGTTGTAATCATAGGTCCTGCCCTCGTAGGTGCAGGTGCAGGCTGGGGGATGGGGCAGGCGCCAGGTCACGCGGGGCCTCATGGCGCCAGCCCCTCACCCCGCCCCACCGGCCCCTTCCTCACCTGTGAGGCTGTGAGTGCACTGGAGGCCGCTGTGGGTGCAGTTACTGGGAGCAGGGAGAGAGGGCTGAAGGCCTGTGGGGCAGCCCCGACCCGCTCCCGGCCCCGTTGCCCCATCCCGGCCCCCAGCCCCTGGCTGCCACTCACCAGCTCTGGCAGTTCTCGGCTGTGGGGACCCTTGAGCCAATGTCATAGTAGAGTCCGTCCTCCCCGTAGCAGCCGCACTGGGCCACGCACTGCATGTGGTCCTCACTGAAGAAGGGCTTGCTGGGCGGGCATTGGGGGTAGCAGCCTGGGGCAGGCACAGTGGGCAGGAGGCTCGTGGGGCCCTCTCCTGTCAGGAGCTGCCCAGGGTGGCTGCCCCCCACCAGCCAGCAGCAGAGACCCTTCAAGAGCCCCCCCTTGAGCCCATGGGTACCCCCATTGCCTGGACGTGCTCTCGGGAATCGATGGAGCAGAGATTCCATCCAGGGAAGTCTGCCCCTCACCTTCCAGGCCTGGCAGGTCGACGAGGCAGTGCCCGCTCGGGTTCCGGCAGGTTCTCAGGCAGGGGTCCCCGCACGGCTTGTAGTGCCACTCACACTCCCCGTGTGGGTTGTAGTAGTCGCAGAACAAGGCTGGGCACAGAGGGCAGAGGTAAAGAGGGGCCTGCTTGGCATGCGCCCGCCATGGTCTGCACAGGCAGCCCCAGCCGGCGCCTGGCCTGCGTCCCCAGGGCGAGTCTTGGGGCTGTCTCAGATGTGCAGGGCCCCGGGGGCTGGGCAGGAGCGTCTCATTCCCTGGCCCCACCCTTGGAACTGCTGTCCCTCCAGAGCCGCCTTGTTTTGGAGCGATCTGTCTTGTTTTCTTGCCCAGATCTACATTTGTGCGTACAGATGTGCACACACATGTAAGCGCACATGCGTGCGGGGCAGGCCCCAGGACTTGCGTGCAGCTTGGAGGCCTCCCACCACCTGGCCACTCCGCCCTTCAGTACCGCAGACAGAGCCCGACTCACGGCAGATGTCCGGAGTCCTCCAGGACACACACACAGCCACGTCGTGGCAGGCCTGAGCGTAGGCGGCCACGGCAGTGCAGAAACAGTCCCAGTCGCCCCCTGCATCACAGGCACATGCATCACTCATGCAAGCCTCATAGTACTTGGTGGAGTCGACCTGGCAGCAGAGGGACAACGTGCGGCTCAGCCAGGAGAGGCAGGGGCAGCTGGCCCCAAGAGAGTCCCTTGGAGCCGTTTGCATTTCAACCCCCCGGCAGTGAACTGAGATCCCTGACTCCAGGGGCCCTGAGTGCCTCGGAGTGTGTCCCAAATGGGAGCTGCCCCCAGCACTGCCATTCTGGCCCAACTGTGCACCTGCCCACCTGTGCACCTGCTCACCTGCCCACCTATGCACCTGCCCACCTGTGTACCTGCTCACCTGTGCACCTGTCCTCCTGTATAATTGCCTGCCCATGCACCTACTCACCTGCCCACCTGTGCATTTGCCCATCTGTGCACCCGCTCACCTGCCCACCTGTGTACTTGCCTTCCTGTACACCTGCCCACCTGTGTACCTTCACTCATGCCCCTTGGATCCTTTTATCACATTAATTTGGTCATGTGACCTGCAGGTTCCAAAGCCAACTTGGTCACACCTAGTCACCCCGTCCTTGTCCCCTGTCTGTCTCTGCTCCAGCTACGCTGGCCTCCTTCCCACCTGGGGGCTTTCCTGTCAGCTGGCTGGTCTTCTGGACTGCTGCTCCCCATACCCTGTAGTGGCTCCTGCTCAGGGACCTCTGCACAGAGGCCACCATCCTGCATCCCACCACCCTGCTGTCCCTCCTGAAGGTGAGCTCTGTGAGAGCAGGTTTTGTACCCAGACTGTGCCCTGAGGCAGGAGCAGGTGGCATCTAGTGTGGGAACCTTGCGGGCATCTCGTACCCTCCAGACCACGTGGTTAACCCTGTCCTGACAGTGAGAAGCTGCCTGCTTTCCTGGGGAGAGCTCCCCAACCCATGCTTCTCCCAAGTGGCAGACCCCAAGGTGGACCCAAGTTCTCACATCTGCCACCCAAGAGCCACCATCTGACTCTGAGGTCAGCCTGGTCAGGCCACAGAGGACCTCCTGAGCCAGTGAGCAGTGTGGCCAGAGGGGACAAGCATGAGAGGGACTCCGGGGTGCTGGGCACAAGCACACGTTCACTGCTGGCTGTTCCTACATGAGCTGCCTCTCGTTGCCACTCCAGGCCCTGACAGAAGGAGCTGTGCTCCTACATGGGCACTCAGGGCTTCGGTAAAATAACAGGAGAGTCCCTACTTAAGGCTGTTCACCAGTTCCTCCCTGGCTGGGCTAGAGAAGACCCTGCCACTGTCCTTGTGCGTGCTGGGGACTGGGCAGGTCTGGGGATCATGGAGGGGCCAGCTGGGGCCACATGGAGGGCAGGCCTCCCACTGGGAGCCTTTGAGTTCCTTGATCACTGAAGCCGTGGTCAAGGAAGTGGCCAGAAAACAGTGGAGACCGCTCCGTGCCAGGGCCATGGAACGTGGGTGGTGCCGTAGTGGGAGATCGAGACTCAGGACCTGGAAACCCAGGACTGTGGACCATGTGCTGTGCTCAGGGTCAAGACTGTCTTCAGAGGTCTGCTGTGCACCCAGCCTGGGCAGAACCAGCTCCCGGCAGAAAGAAGGAGGCAGCTGCTGTCTCTGCTGGCTCCTGCCCTGCAGTCCCAGAGCGCCCATCCTCCGCAGCCCCACACTGCCAGAGCCCCACCTGCGAGCGGCAGGCGGCGAACACGGGGCTGTTGATGATGCTGCACTGCTTCTGGGCCCAGGACTTGCGGTAAGGGTTGGTGGTGCAGGGGTCCTTGGGCGCCTGGGCGTCCGGGCAGGATGGGGAGAGCTTCCAGCTGTTTCCGAACTCCAGCGCGTTGCCCACCACGGACTGGGTCCGCGTGGTGAAGTCGTTGATGGCGTTGCCGTCAAAGTTCCCGCACAGGCCGCAGACCTTGCCCTGCAGAAGCAGAGACGAATGAAGCATGGCGAGCCTGGCCTGGGAGGCTCCAGGGCCCTCCGGGGACTGTAGGGACCAGTTCCCCAGGCAGCGCCCTGTGAAGTTGCAGGGGAATGGGGTGTAAAGTGGGTCCAGAGGTGGGCAGCACCTGCTCCCGCGTAGAATCCTCTGCCTCCCGTGGAGGCCAGAGAGCCAGGCCGTGTGCCAGCCAGGACTCTGGCACACCTGTTGGTCTCTTTAGTCCTGACCTGCCCCTTTCGGAAGCTAACACTGTGCATGGCCTCACAACAAAAACCTGGCTCGGGTTTTTCCAGGTGAGGACCAGCGCTCAGCAGCGTTGGTCTAGCAGTAGGGGCCCCATTCCCCCCGAGAAGGGCACTGCAGCCACTGAGCTCACCTTGTAGCCCTGGTGCAGTCGGATGAACACGCTGGTCTTCCGGTCCCAGGACACGACCATCCCACTGCGGGTCTCGATGACCAGGAAGATGCCCATGTAGCGAATCCTGTAGGGTGGGTCCCTGCCCGATCCCCTCTCCACCACTTTGAAGGTCCCCTCATGGAGGATCAGCTCATAGCCCTGGAGAGGGAGGTGCACACGGGGTGGCAGCTGCAGAGAGCTGAGGGCCTGCCCGGGGCCCCTGGGGAGGGCCATGATGCCCAGGCATGCCCCACCCAGGGCACAGGACTCCACAGGTGCTCAGGGGCTTTTGGTGTGAGGGGCTGGTGTTAGGGATGAGCCCAGCTCACAGACTCCTAGTGAAAGTTTGCTGAGAGACTGGGCAGGATGTGCTGGGAGCCAGGGAACACCGTGTGGCCACGCAGGCCCGCTGTGCCCAGCCTCTGTCCCGGCCAGCGCTGCGCCCACGCTGCCCCCACACTTGCCTGCTCTGGCTGCTGCCGCCTTCCTCGGCTCTTCCAGCCTTTTGGGGGGAAGCACCCCCCGGCCAGCAGCTCTGTTTTCTTCCCTGTGAACTCTGACCTCCCTGTGCTAGAAGCGTGTGTCCCTGGGTGTGGTGGGTGACTGGAGCCCCCACAAAAGATCTACTCACACTCTAACCCCTGGAGCCTGTGAATAGGACCTTATTTGGAAAAAGGGCCTTTGTGGATGTGATTAAGTGAAGGGTCTTGAAATGAGAGCATCCCAGATTACCCCGGGTGGGCCCTAAATCCAATGACCAGTGCCTTTATGAATGACAGAAGAGAGACACAGACACAGAGAGGAAATGGCCACATGAAGACAGAGGCAGAGATCAGAGTGATGTGGCCACAAGCCAAGGGACATCTGTAGCCACCAGAACTGGAAGAGGCAGGAAGGGTCCTCCCCTGAGTCTCTGGAGGGAGTGCGGCCCGGCCAACCTTGACCTCAGACTCTGGCCTGCGGGAACGTGTTACGGCAGCCCTGGGACAAACTGCAGCAGGAGAGCCCATGTGTGGACTTGGGGCCGCTTTGCAAACCTTCCCTTCAGGCTGGGCCCCGTCAGCTGTAGAGGGCAGGAGGCGGTTCCCGGTGGTCCGATGTGTGCTCTCACCTCCACAAAGAGCCTGATGGCCTTGGAGCAGGTGAAACCTGTGGTCCCGCAGGGGATGTTCTCAGTGATGATGCGGAAGGTCCCGTTGGTGGTGGCGTTGACCCCACAGTAGTCCTGGGACAGAAAGAGACCAGGTGCTGGTCACGGGCTGGCGAGCCCAGCCTGAGGGAGCGTGTGGGGTCCACATACCTGGGCCAGCGTGTACTCGCAGCTGCCTTCGAAGTTGTAGCGCTCGCTGTCAAAGGTGATAAAGTGGCCGTCCCCATAGGCCACACAGGTGCCCAGGCAGGGCTGGTGGCTGCACTCCCATCTGCGATTCCTGCAGGTGCTGCGAGGAGGGAAAAGTGCCTGCTCAGGGGGGTCCTGCCCCCCGAGACTGGCCCAGGTCCCTGCAGATGCCGCTGCACTGCAGTGCCATGCCTGGGTTCACAGCGGGAACGAGGGAGGGCCTTGCCTCGTGCTCAGCCAGTTTCCGAGGCCTCAAGACCCAGCCCCTCCTCCAGAGGATAGGGTCCCGGGCAGTGCCCCCTCCTGTGAGGAGCCGGATGGAGCAGTGATTGGGGCCAGGGGGCACCTTCCCGAGGACCCACAGAAGGGCAGGCTCCCCCCTCCTGCTGGGGTTCCCATCTGGCCAAGGCCAGATCAAGCTTCTGTCCCTGTGGTCCCCACGCCCACTGCCTCAAGAGGCCTGTGACCCACCAGGTGTTGCAGTCGACCCTGATGGTCTCCCCGGGCTGGTAGGTGGCCTCGTTGTGCATGCACGGGCAGGCGTCCTCGGCCACACAGCCCCCACTCCCATCTGACACCAGCCCAGCGGGGCACACGCAGCCGGAGACGCAATGTGTGCTGAACTGTGGACACAGGTGGGCCCTGGTCAGGGAGGGGCCGGGACACAAGACGAGTGGATGCCCTCCATCCTGGGGGTGCCCGGGCCTAGGACAGACACATCAAGCGGCTCCCAGGCAGCATTGTGGGCTGGGGCAGAGGCCATGCAGGGGCAGACCTTCCAGGGTCAATGAAGCCCACAGCTGGTGGCCCTGCAGTGACACAAGGACTGCCCAGACCCCTGGGCCCAGGAACACTGAGAGCCTCATCCCCTGCCCTGCCCACCCCGCCCGCAGCACAGATGGGGCCCAGGAAGACTCACGCAGTCCACGTCCAGCGTGTGGCAGCTCCTGAGGCACTCGGCACCGGGGGTGCCGGCCGAGGCGTTGCTGCAGTCCAGGTACACCATGGGGACCTTGCACCCTGGGGAGGTGGAGCCCAGTGCCTGTCCTGACCCACCCTAACCCAGTCCTGACCTCATCTTGACTGCATCCTGACCCCACCCTGACCCACCCTGACCTCATCCTGCTGATGGAGGTTTTGACCACTCAGGCTGCTTTGGATGATGCCCTGGCTGGTGCAGCCCACGACCCCTAAGCCCAGGGCACCCCTTGCCGCTGCTGGGCAGAGACCTGCCGGCCCCTTCTTGCCCTGGAGCCTCTCGACGTGGGCACCTTCCACAGGGTCCATGTGCGCACTGACAGGGGCCTAGGCAGGGCTCAGACGGGGCGTTACCTGTATCTTTCTGCAAGGTGGCTCCCAGGCAGCTCAGCTTCCCCCTCGCACACGAGCTATGAGACATGGACGACCTGGTCTGGACCCGCGCCCACCCCCAGAGACCCCACCCCGGGCTTCCTGCACCTCGCCGAGTGTGAGGGTGCCAGCTAAGTACAGCACGGTGGGCAAGACGAGGCCCTCAGCTCCTACGGGAGCCGCCTTTGCGGCCAGGGCGGCAGTGGGGGCCGGGGCACTCTCCCGGCGGGGAGGCCTGACAGGAGGCCCCCCTCAGTGTCTGGAAATACTCCGGGGGAGGCACAGAGTCCTGTGGGTGTGGGGAAGTGCAGCCAGAGACCCCACCTGCCTGGGGTACCAGGGACCCCGGCCCAGCCCACGCCCCTCCTCACCACACCGCGTCGCTGTCGTGCACGACCTCTCCAGGAGCCACCACCGTGCCTTGGAAGTAGCAGGGGCAGTCCTGGGCGGGCACGCATGTGCCGGCCTCGTCCAGAAAGGTGCCCGCGCGGCAGGTGCAGCCGTCCACTGGCACGAAGGAGACACTGCAGGTGACGTCGGCCTCGCTCAGGGCACGGCAGGAGGGCTGGCAGGCGTCCACCACGTACGCGTAGCTCAGGGACTTGGGGCAGCTGCTCATGTACTTGGCTGCGGTCGGCAGGGGCAGGGGAGACAAAGAGGTTGGTGGCTGGGGCCTGGTCCAGCCCCTGCTTTGTCCCATCACAGACTCAGTGTCCCCATCTGTGTGATGCAGGAATCTGAGGAGCATGCACACTTTGTGCAATGCAAAGCTCTCTGCTGAGAAGAGGTTGACCGACAGGTTCTTCCCGCCCCTGCCTGGCGAGGCCCACACGTCCCACCCCACGAGGGACGTGCCCGGCTTGGCCACCACTCACTGCAGACGCCGCCCCTCCAGCCGCTGAGCAGCACGCCCTTGGCGGCGCAGGCGTGCACGTAGGAGGACAGGGCCGCGCACAGACAGTCTTCGCTCTTCTCACAGTTGCACGTGTCGAACATGCAGTTCTGGGGGTCAAGGGTCAGGGGTCAGGGGTCAGGGCCCCCAGCCCACCAGGGTCCCCTGTTGCTCCGTCCCTCCTTCCCGTCGAGCCTGCTGAGGGCTGGGAACTCTGCCCATGAGGAGGAACCGCAGGAGGCTGGGCATCAGGAAAAGGGTTGGGGGCCAGTGGGGCAGCTGGAAGCTTCTGGAAAAGCGGCCAACGAACCAACTGTTGTGGGTTGAATTGTGTCCCCTAGAAAGGTGTGCTGGAGTCCTAGCCCCCAGGCCTGGCCTGTGAGTGGGGCCTTATGTAGAAACAGGGTCTTTGCAGGTGTGACCCAGTGAAGAGGAGGCCGGGAGGGGGCTGAGTCCAGCAGCTGGTGTCCTCAGAAGGAAACTTAGGTACAGACACCAAGTAGAAGCCGTGGACGGAGAGACTGGGGGGATGTGGCCACGCACAGGCTGCTGGCCACCACACACTAGGAGAGGCCAGGAGGGACCCCGAGAGCCACAGCGTGACTGAGGTCACCGCCTCCAGCACGGAGGGAACCCGTTCTCTCATGTTCAGCCACCACGCCAGCCCTGGGGGACAAGCACAGCAGAGCTTCCCAGCGGGGGTCCCCAGCGGCTCATGGCCTCTCACCGAGTGGAAGGGCGCGGGGTTGACGGTGGAGTGGCACTGCGAGAATGCGCCAGCGGGATCTGTCAGCCGCGAGCACCAGTGCAGGGCGTAGTTCTCTGTGGGGGGGGATGGCCGAGTGGGCGCTGCCCCCTCACCCCACCCCAGCAGCCCGCACTCCCGGCTCCACCCCGGGAACAGCACATTGAATTGTGGGGCCAACCCCACTGGGCTGCGGGGTGCTGCCGGCCTGTCCCTGTCTGTCCTGCCCCCTAACCTGCAGCTTCGCGTCCCCAAGCCCTCCTCCTGTTCCTGCCTGCCATGCACACCTGCCTATTTGGGGCCCCCAAAGCCCCGCCTCATGGGTCCCCATGGTGCAGGGGTCAGGAAGGGCTTCCTCGGGGGGGCCTTGAGCTCCAGGCACTGCCCCAGGGTGACCGAGGGTCGTGGGGGTGGTGGGTACCGTTCTCCACACTCAGGGAGCAGGGGTCCTCCAAGCTGTTCTTGACGTTGGGGCAGGAGGCCTGGGTCTTCCAGGTGTTGGCGAAGGCGGCAGCCGTTCCCTCCACCACCCCGCTGAGCGCCGTGAAGTCGTCGGCCTGGTTCTGGTTGAAGTTCCCGCATAGGCCTGGGGGCCGGGGCAAGGGTGTCGGTAGGCTGCCAAGCTGGGCACTTCTCCCCCACCCGGCTGTGCCTCCTGGCACTGCCACCAGGTGGGCAGGTGGGGCAGCCCCTTCCCAGAACCACCTGCAGATGACCCTGGGAGGCCTGTGCACAGCCAGCCTGGATCAGGGCAGCGGGCTGGCTCTCTGTCCTCCCATCGGATGTCGGGTGTCCGGGGCTGGGGCTGGGGTCTCCCCGACCTCCGTGTGCTGCAGCCTCTCCCCACCACCCCGTCCTCTTGCAGCCTGGAGCTCAGTCCAGGTCCCCCCGCCCCTGCCTCTCCAAGCCCACCGCTGAGCGCCTCACCGCACGTCTGCCCGCGGTGAGAGGGGTCCAGCCTGAGGAACACCTGCATGAGGGGCACCAGCTGCACCTGCACCTGCAGGCCGATGCCCGTCTGCACCACCACGAAGAAGGTCGACGGTCTGAAGATGGTGATGTTGGCTGGGGGAGGGAGGCATGTCAGGAGCGCACGGGGGCCAGGCCTGGCCAGACTCAGGGGCAGTGCTGGGCCCAGGCTGGTGTCTGGTGGGCCACCACCCCACCAGGGGCTCGGGTGCACACTGCCACGTGTCCGTGGGCTGCCGAGCGGGCCGGGCCATACGTGGTGGCTGATGCTGCCTGAGAGGCCGGGACGGGGCTTGCTGGACACGGGTCCCCACTTTACAGATGAGAAAGTGGACCGTGGGATGTTCTGAAACTTCCCAAGGCCACAAAGAGCTAGTGAGGGGTGGAGCTGGGTGCTGCCTGGGCTCCGGAGGCCCACCCTGGCCCAGCTGCCCCGGGAGCTGCGTACCTGCCGACACAGGCAGCTGGGTGTAGATGGAGTTCATGAACACGCCGCCATTGGCCTGGACCCGGATGGCCTGGCAAGGGAGCAGAGAGCAGCCTGCTGGGTCACCCCCTTGGGGACAGCTGGGAGGGGAGCTTGGGCCTCCGCCTACAGCCAGCTCCAGAACTGCCCTGGGAGGTGGCTGACCGGGGGCCCAGGGTGGGAGGAGGGGGTGAAGCCCCTCTTTGCTCCTCATCCCAGCCCAGGGGGTGTGGGCGGCTCGGCCAGGCTGGACCCTCACCGTGTCCCCACCGCTCAGGCTGAGCGTCACCGTCTTGAGGCAGTTCTCGTTGTCAGTCAGACCGCATTTCCGCAGCTCGGCCAGCACGGTGAAGGCACCGTCAGCACATGTCTGATGGGGCAAACCCACCAACGTGTTGGGGTCCATGTGTGAGGGTATGGGGTGCCCCTGTGCCCGCACGGGGGGCAGATGTGGCTCTGGGGGGAGGTGGCCCCTGGCCCCTCTGGTCACCTGCAGGCAGCTGGTCTCAGGGCTTGGGGGCTTCCCCCTCAGAATGGGCATTCCTTACTCTGATGGCCATCACACGACCCTTCCCCAGGGCGGAGGGGGCTGAGGGTCCCAGCAGTCGCACCTTGGACAGGATGTAGCTGCAGTCCCCATGCACGTCGTAGAGCTTCTCATCGTAGGTGGAGATGTGGGACCCACCAAGGACGGAGCAGGTGCCGGGGCATGGCAGGTCCTCACACTGCCACAGCCCCCCGGAGCAGGTGCTGGGGGGACAGGCCGTGAGTGGAAGCGGTGCCACGGGTGAGGAGGTGGGCCCCACCATGCACCCCACCCCTGGCGGGTGGCCGGGCATACCAGGAGCTGCAGCTGGTAGTGAAGGAGGCCCCTGGCGCATAGGTGTGGCCGCCATGACGGCAGGAGCACTGCTGCAGGGACACGCAGCCTGACTGCGTGATGTCATCCAGCACCGTGCCTGGGGGTGAAGAGGTGCCTCTGAGAAGACCCCAGCCTCAGGACGAGCTGCCTCCTGTGGGGAGGGGCCCCCAGACTGGGCTGCCACCCTGAGCCCCACCTGCTTGGGACAAGCACTGAGCTCCTCTCGGCCTCAATTTCCCCACCTGGTCCCCTCCCTCCATGGGCCAGCAGGTCTTCTGGCTTTGTAATGGCCAGTGTCCACCTTGTCCTTGACCCATGGGAGGGGCCGGCCGGCCCTGCTGGTCGAGGCTTGGCTGGGTGTGGGGAGAGTGACCAGAAGGCAGCACGGTGGGAGGTGGGGGTGTGGGGGGCCCTGGGCATGGCAGGACCTGCCTGGGGGACAGAAGCAGCCGTCCATGCAGTGGTCCTCGCAGAGCTGGGAGCGCTGGGGGTTGGAGCAGGTGTCCCCACAGGGCGAGCTGCACTCCTGGGGCTGCATGTTGTGGGGGCACGTCCGGGCTGCGAGGGGAGGAGGCAGTGCTGGGTCCAAGGAGCAGCCCAGATGCTCCTGGCCCCGGCCTAGGAGCACATCTTCTGAGTGAGGCAGGAGGCAAGGAGCGCAGGCCGAGCACCTCCCGGCATGGCCGTCCCCTCTACCCATGCCCACTTGAGGCCACAGCTGCCCGGGGAGACCCCACCCTTGCCAGGGGTTCTGGGCTCAGCTCTGCCTCACTGTGCTGGGGGCCGGGTCCTCCCCTGGGCCTGATGGGGACCTTCACTCCTAGTGCCCCAGGCCTGTGTCTTCCCCCAGCTCTCCCCAGCCCGTCCTCTCTCCTCCTCACCTACCCTCTCACTACCACACCCTGGGCGGCTCCCTCTGCCCTGCGTCCCCAGCCAGACACCAGGCATGGCGGATTGCTATGGGTTAAATGTGTCCCCCAGAAGTTCATGTTTTAGAAAACTTGATTTCTATTGCAACAGCGCTAAGGGGGTGGAAAATCCAATCATGGTCATTGAAAGGTGGGGCCTTTATAGGTGATTAGATTGTGAGGACTGTGCCCTTGTGAAGGGACTGGTCCTTTCGTGGAGTCACGGACATGGTTCCAATGGCTTTACAAGGAGAGCAGGTGAGAAGCCTAGCTCTCTCTTGCTCAGCCCATTCATGCCAGGTGACACCCTGCGTTGCCACAGAATCACCTCCAGATGTGTTCTGTGAACCTTGGACTTCCCAGCCTCCAAAACGGTAAAGTAGAAATTTAATTTCCCTAGAAATTACCCAGTTTCAGGAATCCTTTTATAAGCCACAGAAATGGATAACATGGGGCACTCACGGCAGAAGTCAGGGCCCCGCCAGTTGTGTGGCTGGCCCCCTGCATGGGCGCACTGGCGGGAGTACTCAGCAAAGGTGGCACAGGGGCAGGTGGGGCAGCGGCACAGGTCCTGGACACAGGCGGCCACATAGGCATCAGCGTCCACCAGGGTGTTGCACTCAGTGAAGGCCTGGCCCAGCAGAGTGTGGCGGCAGATGCCCTCCTGGGGAAACAGTGAGGCTGGCACCCTCTGTCCTCCAAGCAAGAGTGCCACAGTGCTCACACGAGGACCCCGTCCTTGCAGACCAGACCCGGGAGCCTCTTTGTTCCCCTCCTGGTTCTTTCTATTCATCCATCCACTAGTCCCTCCTTCCACCTGTTCATCCATCCATCTGCCCACCCATCCATTTGTTACTCCGTCCACCCACTTACCCACCCACTACCCATCCATCATCCACCCATCCTTCTGTCCACCCACCCATCCACCCACCCATCCTTCTATCCATCAACCCATCCACTCATTCATCCATCCATTTACCTGTCCATCCATCCATCCACCCACTTACCCACCCATCCCTCCATCCATTCATCTATTCCTCCATCCACCCACCCATTCATCCTTCTATCCATCCGTCCACCCATTCATCCATCCACCCATCCATCCTTCTATCCATCCGTCCACCCATCCATCCATCCACCCATCCATCCATCCATCCACCCATCCATCCACCCATCCATCCACCCATCCATCCACCCATCCATCCACCCATCCACCCTTCTATCCATCCGTCCACCCATTCATCCACCCACCCATCCATCCATCTATCCATCCGTCCACCCATTCATCCATCCACCCATCCATCCTTCTATCCATCCGTCCACCCATTCATCCATCCACCCATCCATCCATCTATCCATCCATCCACCCATCCATCCACCCATCCATCCATCCATCCATCCACCCATCCATCCATCCATCCATCCACCCATCCACCCACCCATCCATCCACCCATCCATCTATCCATCCATCTACCTGTTCATCCATCCAGCCAGCCACTCATCCATCCATTCATCCACTCACGCATCATTTTACCCAAACACTGTGAACTTGGTGCCTGAAGGTGCAGAGCTCTGCTTGGCTCTGGGGGAATGATCCATGACTCTGGACTCCCCCTACCTCCCAGAGCTCCAGGACACACCTGCCCATGGTATGAGCATTCAGGAAAGGTGTAGACTCTGTCCCCGGAAGGAGGCTCAGGGAAAGGGGAGGCAGAGACACCAGTCCATCCTCAGGTGGCCTCAGCAGGCTCAGTGCTGGCCATTGATGAATGTCCCCCTTCTCAGGCCCCCCAGACCATCTGGGTCTGGGGCCATGGCTCCCAGGGTTTTGATGTTCTCATTCATTTAATGATTTAAGTTTTGGGGAGTCTGCTTGTTCAGGGACCCTGGAGCTTATAGGCCACTTCCAAAGGTGGGGTCCTGCCCACTCATGGGGGGGAGCTTCTTGCTCTGGGATCCCTGAGTGCCCACCCTGGCCTGGCCTGTGCGGGTGTGGGTACAGATGTGCTGACACAGATGGGCATGCGGCACGAGGTGCACACAATTAGAACGTGTGTGCCATGGTGCATGTGGTGAAACTGCCCACAGAATATGCACCTGCCCTACTGTCCCCAGACCTAGACACCTCAGTCCCATCTCTTACCCCGTCACCCAGGGACGCTGCTCAGACCTTGCCCGAGTCTCCCCTGGTCCCACTCTCAGTCCCACCAGGCTAGCCGCCTGAGGGGCGGGGGCTGCAGGCCCTGAGAGGATGCTCACCTCATCTGTGCAGTTGTCAGCCGGTGAGGGCAGGGGGTCCTGGCACTGCTCCATGGGGCCGTTCAGCTTTTGCAAGTTCCCAAACTGGACAGGGGTCAGCCTGGCATCTGCCGGAGAGAAAATGCTCTGTGCGGGTTGCCCTGAGGGGCTCTGGGGTCCAGGGGTTGAGCTCCTCCTCCCTGAGGCTGACTGCCAGGGGCCCCTCTACCCGTGCCAAGGACCTGACACCCCCTCAGGGTGTCCCTCCTCCCCGGCCTTGCTCCCTGCCCCTTGCCCTCACTCTGCCCTCTCCTGCCTCCTGGGACACTGGGCCACCACCCCCGATTCTGTGTGGTGCTCACTGTGGGCGTAGAACTCGTTGACAGCCCGGAGCCCGTTGAAGTCCCCGCACAGGCCGCAGGTCTGGTTGGCGTACTTGGGGTCCAGCTCCAGCTGGGGGGGTGGGGGAGCAGCTGCGGCCTCAGAGCCTGTGCCCACCTGGCTGCGTAGCCCACCCAGCAGGGACCCCAGCCCCGTGATCCCACGGGCCAGTCAACTCTCCCCCCACCCACCATGGGGGGCGTTGGGGCGTGGGGGGCATAGGGGGCATGGGGCTGTGGGGCTGGGGACGGCGTTCTCACCAGGGCGCTGTCTTCTCCATTCCACAGGAAGGTCAGGGCCAGCCGGATGCTGACCTTGATGTAATCGCTGCTCCGCTCCACCAGGAGGCCTGTGCGGCTGTAAGGCAGCTCCTCCCTGGACAGAAAGTTCTAGTTCTCCCTCAGCTGGGGCATTGGGCGGGGTCCAGTGGGGACGGGGATGGGCCGGGAAGGTCGGCTAACCCATGGGCAGTGCTGGGGAGGGTTGTGTGAGGTCAGCTCACCGCTGCCCGTTGATGAGGATGGAACCGTTGGACACCTCCAGCACCAGCCCCTGGGCCTTGAGGATGATGTGGGTGATGGTGGGCCTCGAGCCCGCCAGCCCACGGCGCAGCTGGATGTTGAAGTCCTCGTAGGCGGCGCCGCAGTGTGCGGAGAACACGTAGTTGCAGAGGCCAGGGAAGCGGAAGATGTCCCCGTCGAAGGTCTTGTAGTGGAAGTCGCCCCAGGTGCTGCACACACGCCCGTTGTGCGCAGGGTTCAGGGCTGTGGGGGGCAGCGTGATGGGCCCCCGCCGGATGCCCCCACCGACACCCAGCCACCCATCGCAGCCGTCCCCAGGACGAGGAGCCCATGCTTGGAGCAGCTGACTGCAGACCCGTCCCTGCCGCTCCCACCTGCTCCAGGTGGTCAGCCCCCAAAGAGCTGTCCACAGAGCAGGCTCCGGCTTCCCCGCACCACACCAGCTCCGCCCCACACCCCTGCCCCCATCCCCAGGCCTGGCAAGCACCCTTCCCTGGGGGCAGCTGGTGGCATCCACTTACGGCTCATTCTGGGGAAGACAGTGATGGGGGGAAGGAGGGTTATGCGCTGGGTGGGCGATGACATAGTCTGGGCTGTAGGCAAGGGCCAGGTCACACTGGGAATGTGGCATGGCAGGGAGAGCCGGGGATAGCCCTGCCCAGGCCTCCCTCCTGGGGGCAGCAGGGAGCCGTCCCGCTCCTCCTGGGTCACCCCTGTACCCCCTGGGACCCTCCCCATCTGCCCCAAGAAACACTCCTGCCTTGAGTGCTTCTGTGTGTGTGCATGTGCAGACATTTGTGTGTGTGCACACACGTGTTGGAGTGTGAGTGCACATGCATGTGTGAGTGTGCATGCACATGTCTCTGTGTGAGTGCGTGTGTGCACGTGTGTGTATGTGTCTGTGTGAGTGCACATGTGTGTGAGTGCATGTGCACACGTGTCTCTGTGTGTGAATACGTGTGCACACGTCTGTGTGTGAGTGCGTGCATGACTGTGTGTGGATGTGTGAACCTCCTGGCTCTGCACCTTGGACTTCTTTGGAGCCCCCAGCCCCCTCCAGTGTCCAGCACTGTCCCCGGGTAGGCAGACCCAGAGAGGGTCTCTGTGTGATGTGTAGCTATGTAAAAAGGTGTCTGTCTGCCCCTCCTGAATCCCCCCGGCCCTCCTGCCTGGTCAGGAGCCCCCCACCCAGAGCCGGGGCCACGTACTGCTGTCTGCCACCTGGCTGTCTGCTGTGGGCTCTGAGCTCCCCCAGTTCGGCTCTGCACTGGCCTGGGCCCCTGTGTGAAAAGAGGATGGCAGCTGGTGAGAAACTGGACATGTTGGCCACCCCTGCCATGGCCCCGCCACAGCCCCTGCCAGGGTGGCTTTGCAGGAGGCACATGGTAGCAGGTCTTCATGTCGCCCCATGAACAGACCCCGGCCGGAGGCTGAGTGTCCTCTGAGGTATTCTGGGGACCCAAGCAGGATTTGATAGAGCGACCCCAACCCTATCTGCTGCAGACGCCCCCCAGCGCCATCGATCAATGTGACAGAAAGCCTGGCCTCCGTTGGAATGGAAGTTTCTGGCAGGGCACTCCGTGCTGCCTCCAGGTGAGACCTGCACCCACCCAGTGACCCTGTTGCCTGTCTACAAGTACGGGGTGGCGCCTCATCTCCCGAGCGATGGGGCAGACACCCCCGCCGGCTCAGGGGAGGAACTGGAATCAGGAAAAGGCGTTGTCCCAGGGAGGGGGTTCAGTTGCATCCATGCATCCTGCAGAGAAGGACAATGACCGGCTTTGTTGGGAGGATGTGGTCAAAAGCCTCTGGGTGTCACCCCGCAGAAACTTAAGACCGAACCCAGCGTGGAGCGAGAACCCTAAGTCAGGGTGGGGTGGGGCGACTCGAGGTGTGTGGCCGCTGGTGCTGGGATGGCCCCCAGGGCCGTCTGGGCTGTCCATTGCCTGCAGCCCGATCAAGGCCGAACTCGGGGCTACGGACCCTAAGAAGAGGCAGCTTCAACCCCCACGATTCTGAGGTCTCCGAGCCTCCAGGCAGCTCTCTGCTGGGCTCAGGCTGGGGGTCCTCCCTTCCTGTGACCCCAGAAGTCCTTCCTCACATCTGACTCGAGTCTCCATTCTCAGTCCAGCTGTGCTTTGTGGGCAAGTGGGTGGTGGGCCCAGTGTCCTGATGGCTTGGGCAGTGCTAGGGTGCTCGGTGAGGGACAGTCCACTCCCCAGGCCGCATGGCTCACCTGGCACCACGGGCAGCTCACCTTCCTGCTGACCTTCCCAGCTGTGTCCTGCTGACATTCAGAGACTGTGGGGACTGGCCTGCGCCTTAACCTTTCCTCTGGAGGGCCTCGGGTGACTGCCTTTCTCAGAAGCACAGCCACACTCTCCGTCTATCCTGACCTCAGACCCACAGTCCCTCCCATGGGTGCCTGGCCTGGCCTCGTGCACAAGGATCCAGGTGTCTCAACAGATGCAGGTCACGTTGCCCCCCTCTGCCCCTCCCCAGGCCAGGTCTCCTCCCGCATCTGCTCAGTGCAGGCTGGGTGCACTTTCCCCACCTCCGACACGAAGCCCCCTGTGTGGTGGCCCAGCTTGCCCCCACCGGCCATGGTACACACGTCTCATGACAAAAGCACATTCCCATCTGAGGGCTTGACTTGCCCCCAGCGAGAATGCAGTGGGTGGAGGATGAGGTGGGCCCGAGGCTGGCTGGGCAGGCCCTCCTGCTTAGTTAGGTGGCCAGAGCCCAGGCCTCACGGCCAGAAGAGCCCAGGTCTGGGGACATGGCTGTGCCTGGCAAAGCTGCATCCCAGACCTTGCAGCAGGTGGGGCCACTGTGACCTGGAGGCTTCCATGCACGCCTACTGGGAGCTGCTGTGGGAAATCTGCCCCTGCCCCCAGCCCTGCCCACCCACTGAGGAAGGGGGCTCGGGCAGGAGGCTCTGGGGAGCCCGCCCCTCCCTCACTGCGTCCCTTGCACAGATAGAGGGAGCCCGGGTGGAGTCCCACCTGCCCAGACCCTGAGCTCGGGAAGCAGCAGGCGCGGGCTGCGGAGGGCCGTGGGGCCTCCGGTGGCCGTGCTCCAGGCCGCCCTGCCGAGCCTGCCACTGAGCCCCTGCCAGGTGCCGCCGGCAGCCCTCAGGCCACGTCTTTCTTGTTGACAGTAAGTGTTAGCACTTGTGGCTCTTCCGAGAGACGACGGATGAGGAAAACCGCTGAGCTGAGCAAGGACGTGTAGCAGGTGGTGCGGGTGCCCAGCGGTGGCAGGACGGGCCCCACTGGGGTGGCCCTGGGCCCCAGCTGTGGCTCTCAGCTGCTGCCTGTGTGACCTGGTGCCTATCTGTGCACCTGCTTCCAGCCCTATGACCTGGAGGTGGTGCCCCTCACCAGGAGGGCTCAGCCCTGTGGGGGCTGCCCGGTTGGCTGTGACCCCAGGCCAGCCGTGGTGGGCAAGGTCAGTCCTGGACAGGGCCCCACAGAGCCCCCACCACAGCCCCTCCCCAGGTGCTGCTCCTGTCCTGCCCCCAAGACCAAGACCCTCCAGATGGTTTCCCCAGGGGTCCTGCCCTGAGGCTGGGGGACCCGACTTCCTCCGAAGACCCCCGTCCGAGCCTCCCTCCCACCGGCCGTGCCAGCCTCTGGGTTCCCCGACACTAAGTCAGCCCAAGTGTGGATGGCAGGCAGAGAGCTGGGGTCCTGCAGGCCAGGGACCATGGTGTCCCCGTCCAGGACACTTGGGGGGATCTTCCCATTCTGTGTGCAGGAGAAGCAGCCTGTGGAGGCATCGAGAGGGGCAGGGGCTTGGGCCTTACCTGCCTGGCGCAGCACGAGCAGGGCTGCAAGGGCCCACGCCAGCACCTGGCACCCGCTACTGGTGCCCATCCCAGGGGCTGGCGGGCGGGCAGGCCGGCGGAAGTGGGGCAAAGCGCTCGCTCTCCTGGGGGCCCCCGGGCTTATGAGCAGGAAGCCTTGGCCCTGCGCCCACTCCCCGGCCACCGTCCTCTCCCTGCGCCAGCCACGTGTGTTTGCTCTTGGGGAGGGGCCGCGGCAGGGAGGAGGGTTGGAGCAGGAAGGATTTGCAGCTCTGGGCCCCGGGGATGCAGGACGCCCCCTCCCCTACTGAGAATCGAAAGTGGGAGGGCAGGGCCAGCCCAGCTGTGCCTGGAGGTTGGTGCGGGCACCCACGCTGGACAGCAAAGCGCCTGGAAGGCAGGGCCGGCCTTGGGCCATGCTGGGTCTGTGGGGACAGTGGCCCGCAGGCCCGCTTCACACCCAGCCCCCATGTCCTGCTCCTCCCGGGAGCCTGGCCTGGCTGAGGAGTGGGACAGAAGGGCGGGAGACCTCAGCCTTCGGTGGCCCTGGGGAGCTGGCTGGTGGCACTCACCACCTGGTCTGCGAGTAGTCAGGGAGGCATGAGGCTGAATCCCACTCCTAGCGGGTCACTGCCCTGGGGGCTCCTGCTTAGCTCGGGAGTGTGCTTGGCTGTGCGTCAGGGCAGGGTGCCTGGGAGGCCGCTGACCTTTCGTAAGTTTCAATAAGGGGGAAATTGAGGCCCGGTTCATGCCCTGGCCATGTGCGCTGAGTCGGCAGTGCTTGTCCAACGCCGGCCCTGGCAGAGGCAGGCGGGAGGCTCCCAGCCCATGTCTGTCTGGCCCCACCTCACTCCTGAGGCCAGCTTGTCAGCCCTGGGCAGGGGCAAGGAAAGCTGGGCCTCGGGGGTCCTGGAGGACCACATAGACTCCGAGGCCCTCGAGGCCCCCAGTGGTGATGAGGGAGCCCTGGGGACCATGCCGTGAAGGCCCAGCTCCCCCAGCTGGTGCCAGCCAGCCTTCCCGGGTCACGTGGTAACCATGGCCTGGACGAGGGACAACCCCCATGGATGTCGCTTTTCCTAGTGGCACCGTCCAGAGCCGGATGCACTGTAATGGGTGCGTCTTCCCATCTGATGTGCGCTCAGATGTGGCCACCCTCTTGTTCTCAGCCTGAACGTGTCCGAGAATGTTCCGTGTCTGGACTGGGCTGGGAGCGCGGGGTCGCGGGTTTTGACCAGCCCCGACGTGGACATTGAGGCAGTTCCAGGTCTATTTGTGTGGTCATCGGTGTCACAGGGAGCCGGGTGCCAGCCGCCCTGCACTGGTCTCTCTGAGGATCAGTTCTCAGCGCTGGGGTCTCTGTGGCAGAGGGAGAGCCTGTCCTCAAAGCTTTGGAAACGCTCGACACTATCAGGACGGCCACTATCAAAAGCCCAGGGAACGGCAGGAACTCGGGAGGGCAGGGGCATGGGCTGTCGGGGGATGGGCAATGGCTCAGGGTCCCCGCTTCAGTGTCAGTCGCATTTGAGAAGTCTGGTCGTTCCTCAGAAAGTCACACAGAGAATTATGCTGTGACCAGCAGTCTCACTTCTGGACGTGGGCAGAAAAGCGTGGGAAGCAGCTCTCGAAGAGAAGCGCACACACCCGTGTCCACGGCAGCATCGTTCACAACAGCCCAAAGGTGGGAGCGACCACGGGTCCGTCAACAGATGCCCGGACAAGAAAGACGTGGTCCGTGTGTGCAGTGGAATGTCACTCAGCCTTAACAAGGAAGGACATCCTGACACCCGCTACAACGTGGAGGAACTCCGAGGACACTGTGCTCAGTGAAATGAGCCAGTCACCGACGCACAGCCACTGTAAGAGTCTGCTTATGTGAGGTCCCAGAGTCGTCACATTCATAGGGACAGGAAGTCGAGTGGGGGCCTCTGGGGACTGGGGGAGGGGATGGAGAGTTGGTGTTTAATGGGGACAGAGTTCCTGTTTCACAGGATGGAAAAGTTCTGGAGATGGATGTTGGTGACGGCTGTACAACAACGTCAGTGTGACTACTGCCACAGAACTGTGCACCTAAAAGTGGCTGACAGCCCGGATCTCAGCCCCAGCCCAGACCCCTGCTCCCCGTTCACTGGGGACCCCAGGGGCCGGTGCTCAGGCCGACCCCAGCTACCCCTTTCCTGCAACTGATTTCATTTCCAAAGTTGAACGTTCCCAGGTTGGGGTCTTTGGAGTCTCCAAAGCTCTCTTTCATATCCAGCCCAGTTGTGCCCACGGCAGAAGGGCACAGCCAGATGGGGCTTGAAGGAGTGGCTGGGCCAGCGGGTCCCAAGGGCCAGTCTGGAGCCCCCTGCCCAGCCCTCCTGTGCTCCAGGGACACGGCTGTGCCCAGGCCTGTGGTCCCTCATGTCGGGGGCGGGGTGTACCTGCGGCCTGGACGGCAGGGCAGAGACCCCTCACCTGGCTCCTTCCTGAGCAGCCCAGGTGCCTCTGTCTCAGCAAGATAGCGTGTCCTCCACTGCAGAGCGGGGACCCCATCTACTCATGGCTTCAGTGTTTACTGTCCGTGCCTCCCCACTCTGAACCCGGAGAGAGCCCCATGCAGACAGGGGTCTATCCCACCTGCTCACAGCCAGCACGCAGCAGGCACTCAACAGGGGCACTGAATGAGGGGACAGCCGCTGCCCTTGGCCTCCCCACAGACAGCCTTGCTTGGGCAGAGGGCCCCGCAGGGACGGGGATGGGCTGGGCCGTGGTCCCAAGTGGCAGGAGCTGACCAGCCGGCTGCCATGGCCTATTGGGGTCGCGGCTATTGAGCCATCCCGGATGCGGCTGTGGGGAGCCCAGCCTGTTTGCCCAGCCTGTTTGAAGAGTTTACCTCTTCACAGTTGAAGGAGCTGAGAACAGAAGATAGAGGAAGGACACAGGGAAGCGGCCGCTCCTGCTGGGAAGGAGGGGCCGGGCCAACCTCCCAGAGTGCGCAGGAGGAAGGCTCCCGCTGGGCTGTGCCAGGAACCTGCCCCGAGGCTTTGACGGTTTGGGAGCCTGGCCCAGCCTTGGGCGGGCCCCTGTCCCTCATTCCAGCCTCCCGGGTATTCAGGGGGCAGGCAGGGCAAAGAGGACACACAGGGCCTCACAGAGCCCCGAGGTGGACGTGGTCCCCACGGACAAAGACCTGCCGGGCCTCACGGGGCCCAGAGGTGGACGTGGTCCCCACGGGCAAAGGCCTGCCGGGCCTCCCGGGGCCCAGAGGTGGACGTGGTCCCCACGGGCAAAGGCCTGCTGGGCCTCACAGAGTCATGCTGAGTTGGTCCCACCATGAGTGAGGGTCAGCTCAGGATTCATAGAACTTTGACACCTCAGCTGTGTCCCCTCCAGAGGTGTTTCCAGCATGAGCAGCTGTCCTGGACGCAGTATCCACCAGGCTCAGGGCTGCTGTCCCCTATCAGAGCTGCCCCAAACCCAGCCAGCCCCTCGGCCTGGGGGGTGCTTGGCGACTCCCTGGGGTCATCCATTGAGGCAGGGGTCCTTCCTTGGCCCAGCCTTGCCCCACCTCCCACCACAGTGGTGCAGATTTGAGGACACGACCCAGGGTCCATCCAGCCTTAGGCATTTATTGAGTGCTGGCTGTTTGCCCAGCTCCTCACGGGGCACCGTGGTACATCAGGGGGCTCAGGCACAGCCCTTAGGGGTCACAGGTACGGCTGGGCCCAGGGTCTTCTCAGAGTCTGTCCTTGGGCTGTCCTGACAACGACTGTGCTGGTCCCTCCACTCCTGCTCCCCAGAGGGCCATGTGGCTGTGGCATGTGGCACCTCCACTTCTAGGATGGGGGTCTCAGCAACTCTAGTTCACACCCCAAGGGGCTCAAACTCCTGGTGGGCAAGGGACCCAGTGATGTCACCAGAAGGCTGGGAGCCCAGGGCTGGCTGGGCCTAGCAGGGCCTCGCAGGGCCTAGCAGGGAAGGTGGTCCAGGCACCCCAGGCCTGGCCAGGCCCCTGTCCCCCACCCCCAACACACTCAGGAATGTTTCCAGCAAGACTCAAGGGTCTCACTGAATCTGGAGACCAGATATGGAGGATGAGCTGGGCCATTGCAGCCCCCAGACCCCTGGCCCGTCAGTCCACAGACACTGCTGGGTGGGGCTGGATCGCCTAGCAGGGAGTGGAGCCATCGGGGGACAGGCAGGTCACGCTCCACCTGGCTGGTCCCTGAGCCACCCCAGCTGTGAGAAGGGCTGTGCCCACCCCCAACCCTGCACCGAGTCTACAGGACGTGGAGACCCTCCCCCAGGCGGGCCCGTGCCCTGGGTGAAGACCTGCCCCCACTCCAGCGTCTTCTCTCGTTTTTCCTGGTTTCACGCAGGTCCCTTTCTTTGCCTGTTTCCTCCCTTCCCCCTTCTCTTTCCCTTCCTCTTGTAGTGGATTGAATTACATCCCCCCAAACTCACTGAATCTTGAATTGTGTCCCCCAAGTTTTATGTATTAGAAATTTGGACCCCACTGTGCCTGTTAAGAGGGTGGGAAATCCTATTACGGTAAGTGGAAGGTGGGGCCTTGAAGAGGTGACTGGGTTGTAGGACCGTGCAGTAGTGAAGGGATTAATAATGGTGGTCAGAGGCGTGGTTCTGAGGCTTTAAAAGAAGACAGAATGAGCAGGTTAGTCTCTCTGCTCTCTCTGTCATGTCATTTCCACAGTGTGACACCCTGCCGTCACTGAAGTCACCACCAGAGAAAGCTCTCACCAGCTGTGTCCCCTGGACTTTGGACTTCCCAGCTTCAGAAAGTGTAAGCAATACATTTCATTTTCTTCATAAGTCACCCAGTTCCAAGTACTTTGTTGTAAGCAACAGAAACAGATGAATACACTCCCCTTTCTTCTGGCAAATTCTGATGAGCCCTGGCTGAGTGCCCGTGCTGCCTCAGGTTGGTAGGATCTGATGGGGGCCAGGAGAGCCAAGATCCTGACCTTCGAAGCTCACAACAACATGACCGCCGTTTCTGGCAGCGCTAGGAGCTCCCCCGAACCGCGAGAGGGGGTGGTGCCTCGGTGTGGGGTGGGCGAGCCGAGGGGA